CAACACCCCTCCCCCTTGGGTTCCGTTTGAGGGGAGCTGTAATAAAATCCTCAAGATAGACAGGCCGTTTGGTCTGTCTGGATGATTTCCGTGGCTCCACCGGTTTTGGTCTAAGGTCCGGTTCCGGTGGAGCGTTTGGATGATCTTTATTAAATTCAGTTTCGCTGCACGGTGATTCCGTGCTGCTTTCACTGTGGTTGTCTCTGCTACTCCGTGTTTCTTCGGGGTTTTGCAGTTCGGTTTCCCCCGTATTAAAGTTCCCTGAAAAATTCAACTCCCTCCCCGCTTCAAGTTCCGGTGTTTCGCTGGGCCGTAGGGTTTCCGTTGGCCTGCTATTTGTCATATCAAAGTCAATTTCCTCGATATTTCCTCCCCCTTGAGTTGGTGAACCCGGGGAGTCATGGGTGCTGGGTGGTAATTTCGATCGGAGTTGGTCTATGTGGCGTTTCCACACCCTCCCATCGTCCGTTAGCAGGCGGTAAGATCTAGGCCCGGTAAGGTGGGTAACGGTTGCGGGTATCCATAACGGGTCGCCGGAAAAGTTTTTGGCAAAGATTAAATCGCCTACCTTAAATTCCCGGCATTTGCTGCTGGAGCCGAAGGGCTTTTCTGGTGCGAATGCGGGGTGGAGCCGGTCAAGGTGCGATCGTAGTTTCCGCCCCATAAGAAGTTCAGCGGGTGTTTTGTTGGTCACGCTGTGGGGCGTGATGTGCTGCAACAAGAGAATTCGATTGATTTTCTCGTCGATGTTACCAAATTCCATTTTGTGAAGGGTCTTTTTTACAAATTGTACCATGCGTTCTGCACGTCCATTCGCCGCAGGGTGCGCGGGCGAGGTTAGCGCATGGCGGATGCCCCGATCAGCAAGATATTGTTCAAAGGGTAATGCAGTAAACTGTGGGCCGTTGTCCGAGACCAACACGTCCGGAAACCCGTGTGTGGCAAATAGTCTGTTTAATTTATTGATAACTGAGTCCGTTGTAGTTGTGTTCATTCGATGGATCTCGAGCCAGTTTGAATAGGCGTCGACAGTAATAAGGAAAGTGTGTCCTTTGGTAGGCCCCGCAAAGTCAATATGAATACGGGACCAAGGTCCCCTCGGAGTTTCCCATTCGGTTGGGCTTGCTTTAGGCGGGGCGTTGCTGACGTCCTGGCAACGTTGACAAGTGGCGACCCAGGCCTCGATTCTTTTGTCGATTCCCGGCCACCAAGCGTAGCTGCGTGCGAGTGCTTTCATCCGCACGATACCCGGATGTCCTTCATGCAATACCGCCAAAACAGTTTGTTGCAATTTGCCAGGGATTACGACTCGATCGCCCCACAAGATACAGCCTTTTTGGGAAAACAGTTCGGTTTGGCGGGTTTTGAAAGGCGCCCATTCCGGTGCTATTTGGTCCGTCGGCCACCCCCGTTCAACCCAGCGTAGGATGTGTTGCAGAACTGGGTCACGTTTCGTTTCAGAGGCAATGTCTCTAGCCGTCAAGGGTGGTGCATGCAGAGCTTCGATCTGTAGTGTTGAGATGGTTGGGGCTGGATCTACAACAGAGTCTGGGAGCGGTGTTCTGCTCAATGCATCAGCGTGGAGAATTGATTTCTCCGGGCGATGTTGCAAGGTGTAGTTGTAGGCCGCCAAGAATTCAGACCAACGGGTCATTCTGGGGGACAATATATACGGGGTTGGTTTATTACCCGCAATGATCCCCAGTAGCGGTTTATGATCAGTAATTATCGTAAACGCATGGCCATAAACATATTCATGAAATCTTTTAACTGCAGCCACAATAGCTAAAGCTTCTTTGTCCAGCTGACTATAATTTCTTTCAGCTTTAGCTAAGGTTCGCGAAAAAAACGCGATGGGGGCTTCCGCTCCATTTGGTAATACGTGGGCCAGAATTGCCCCAACCCCAAAAGGTGATGCGTCACACGTGATAGTGAGCGGAAGAGTCTCGTTGTACTGCATAAGTAGTTATGATCAGAAGTTAGCAATTTCTTTACTTGTTGGAAAGCATATTGTTCCCGTTGTCCCCAAACCCACGTTCCTTTTTTGTCTAATAGTCTATGCAATGGTTCTGCTACCGTTGCTTTGTGGGGTAAAAAGACATTATAGAAATTGATAAGTCCAAGGAACGCCTGTAGGTCTGCCTTGTTCCTTGGAGTGGGGGCCTTTTTAATCGCCCTTAATTTGTCTTCGGTGGGATGGATTCCTTGGCTGTCCAGGAGGTATCCCAAAAATTCTACTTTTTCGGTACATAACTGGCATTTATCTTTTTTAACTCTGAGGCCTGCGTTTTGGAATCTTCGTAAAACCTCTCTGAGTCGTTTTTCTAGGATGTCTTTGTTAGGGGCGGCGATGAGTACATCGTCGAAATATGGTACGACCCCTCTGATCCCTTGTAACAACCTTTCCATTAAGCTCTGAAAGATTCCGGGGGCAACGCTTACCCCGAACTGGAGCCGGTTGCATTTAAATGCGCCCCTATGCGTTACGATAGTTTGCGCCTCTGCCGTGGTCGGATCTACAGGCAATTGCTGATACGGCTGGGCTAGATCTAGTTTAGCGAAAACTTTCCCGCCACCCAGGGAATGGAGCAAGTGTTGCACTACCGGCACTGGATATGCACTTTGCTGTAGTGCGTGGTTTAAGGTGGCCCGGTAGTCTCCGCAAATTCTTAGTGACCCATCAGGCTTGATAGGCGTCACTATAGGGGTTTCCCAGTGGGCGTGGTCGGTGGGTTCCAGCACGCCCTGCGCTATTAGCTTATCGAGTTGTTCGTCGATTTTAGGCTTCAAGGCGAATGGCACCCGACACGGCTTAAGGCGGATGGGTGCTATCTCAGGGTTCAAGTTAAACGAGATCGGGGTCCCCTTGTACTTGCCTAGTCCGTTCGCGAAAATGTCTTGGAATTCTTGCACGAGTGCCTCCTCCCAATCGCTGCTCTCGGCTCGGTGGACTCCGGCTACAGTGATTCCGAGCGGCCTGAACCATTGAAGGCCTAAAAGACTAGGCCTGTCGCGGTCCACGACAGTCAGTGGTAGAGCGACGGTACGGTCCTTGAAAGAGATCTGGAATCTGCGGGACCCGACGACGGGAATTCGGTTGCCCTGATAATCTTTGAGTATAACCCTTTGAGGGTTAAGGTCTTGGTGGCGAATCGTTGGAATGAGCTGTTGGAGCGTTTTCCACGACACCATCGAGAGGGAAGATCCCGAGTCTACCTCCATCACGCAAGGTTTGTTTTTGATGGCGACCTTTACTCGGATTTTCCCGGCATCAAGGGATGTAGCGTGGCCTATGGTGATTGTTTGGTGGGTCTCTTCCCGCCTGGTTTCTTCACGCCTGGTGGAAGTGGTGGACGGCTTGTTTCTGTAGGAGTGGTTTCCCCATTGGTGGTTCAGTTTTTCTCGGTGTGTGCCGAAGCATCCTGAAGATTGGCATTCAGCCTGTCGGGGTTTGGAGTTTTGTTTGCTTCTGCAAACCTTTGCGATGTGACCTCGTTTCCCGCAATTGCGGCAGAGTGCGTCGAGGAATTTGCAGCTGGATCGTGGGTGATTCGCCCCACATCCTGCACACGGTCGGGATGAGGGTTGTGTGAACTGGTCTCGTTCCATTCGGAGTCGGTTGACCTCTTCCTCATCGCTTTCTGATGGGGATTCTAGGTCTTCGTGGTGAGTCGATACCGGGTGTCTCTCTGAGTGAGGCGAGGTATCATTGGCGAGTTGACGTAGCAGTGCGTTGGTGCGGCGCATTCGGGCTGCCAACTTCTTGGTCGCCTCCGCTGCCGAGGCTTCTTTAAGGGCATCGGTGAGGCTGATGTCCCCCTTAGCCATAATTTTGCTCTGGATCGTGCCGTCTTCTAAGCCCAGAACCAGGCGGTCCCGGAGGGCTTCTTCTAAGTCGGTGAAACCGCAGAGGCCTCCAAGGTTGCGGAGGTCCGCGATGTAATTGGCAAGGCTTTCACCCTTCCGTTGGTCCCTCTGGTAATATTTGTGTCTTCTGACTAAGGTTGGCACGGTGGGCGCGTAGTGAGCCCGTAGTAAAGGCTCGAGGATGTCCCAGTCCATCTCTTTTACCTCGGCTGGCTTGGCAAGTGATTTTGCCATTTTAAACACGGTAGGCCCGCAGTGAGTTAGAAAGATAGCTCTTTTTTTGCCGGTTGTTGCATCTTTCAAATTGTTGGTCTCCAGAAACATCTGGAACCGATCCATGTATGACTCCCAGTCTTCGGTTTCTGGGTTGAATGGAGCGGGTGGTACGGCACCGCTGGCCATGTTGCCGTTGATGGTGCGTGTTCGACCACGTGCTCTGTTGGTTGCTCTGTAACTTAGTCAGCTCTTCGGTCTCCGTATCCCACCCTCGTCGCCAGTGTTAAGTTTGGGGAATAATGGAGACCAGACATCTGACCAGTGACTTCAACTCTTTAATAATCGTAAATATAACAGAACAGAGCAAGGCTATGGGCAACAGCAACCCTTTTATAGGGTTATCTGCTACCTTATTACCCAATGACATGTGCAACAAGTTCAAACTTATAACCAATGAGAAGTGTCAAAATAGTGGCCAATCAGGGACTACTTATGGACCAATCCCTAGTTGTTGTATAAGGGCCAATCAGGTGTGCAGGTTTCCAAACCCTGATTTGCATTTATGCTAGTAACTTTTATTGATTCACAACATTTGTATTATGTTTTTTTTTGTGAAGACCCAAATAAAATTTTCAAAAAATAAAAAAAATAAAATAAGATTCATTGCTTCTTTTACTTGACAATAAAATGCACAGATTATGGGATTCCCATCTATCTGATACACTGAGGTTGAGGAAAGATGCCAAGTAAAGTCACCTCCCTAGAAAACAAGTAGCGGCAGCTAAGCAGCCATACTAAAGCAGGAAGGCAGACCTTCCTTCCTGTGTCAACATTCAGGATTTCTCAGAAAGAAGATTTGATCCAGCCTTTCCTTCTGTATGTGTGTGAATGGCAATAGCTCCACTCTTCACCACCACAGAGATATGGACCTCTGTAATTTTCATCAAGGCAATGCAGCATATATAAAAGCAACAGATATTTGGTATGCTGGTAGACCACTCGTGCGATTGCCACACACACACACACACACACACACACACACGGAGAGGGGGGAGAGAGAGAGAGAGAGAGAGAGAATGAGAATATAATATTATATATATAAACATTGCACCCTATTGTTATTTCCCTAGTTCACAGCCTTGTCCTGTCAAAAATAAAAATTCACTCTAATCCTAGATCTGGTACAATGAATTTCCTGCCATTTTGGAATTAGCTAAAATAATACATTAGAACAGCTTCTCCCATTTTAACAATAACTATCCATGTCACCTTAGTAGTTAAGTGCATACCATAACGTATTACTTTATTTTTTTAAAAAAGCTTCAAGCCTAAAGGTCCAAAATAGCCATACACAAGGAAAAAAACCCTATTCAAATGAGATACAATGGAGGCTATTATATTAATCAAACACTACCAATACATAATTAGCAGCTGATCTTGAGAGAACTCCATTAATAGTTAATTATACCAAAGATGCAGATACCTGCTTGTCACTCAGATTCCCCTGCAGTAAAGAATCTATGAAGATGTGTCGGCTGAAGTTCTTTCCTTGTCGTTCTTTTATGACTTTCTTCAAGACCTGCTCCATTTCCATCAGGGCTTTAAGCACAAAGAATAATGAGGTCATTTCCTAGCTAGCACAGTGGGATGCCCTAGAAACATATCATGTCATGTCAGGCAGCTGGTCTTTGGCTTCTGAAGACTGCTTCCCTCGCAGATGAAAAATGATTTGGAATACATTTATTTTCATCATAGCCCTATCCATTGGTTCCACAGATATAAGTCTGTATACACATGCAAGTATGAATGGAGAAATAAAATGTTATCTATCAGCCTTCAGAAATTACAGAAAACTTATACTAAAAACGGGTATTGCAGAGTGTTGAAGGAGGGATAGATGGGATTGATTTATTACTCTATCCTGCATTTGGAAAATAGATGAACAAATAATGTTCATGGTGTCTGTGTCTGTATACATGCTAGATAAAACAGTAGCATTTCTGATACATTCAATAAAACATGTTGCTATGCAGAAATGTTCAATTAGATCACCTTGCCAGGAATATGTGTCAACTAGGTAGGAAACAGAACTCACCATCTTCATACTGCTTTTTTCTGGTCGTGCTTTTATCAAGTGAACCATCTAAGAAACCCTTTCCAATTTCTGCCCAGATCTGAAATAGAAATAAATAATAATAATCTTTCTTAGTTTATTATTAAGTATTTATTTCAGTCTTACCAGAATATTAAATATGGTTTCTGTACTAAGGTAAGGCTGGTGCTAAAAGGGAAGTGATTAATAACTGTCTCACTTAACAACAGAAATTTTGAGTTCAATTGTGATCATGTCAAGGACTACCTGTACTTATAATGCATTATAATGGGTATATAGGCTGTCTACTCTGTTAATTACAAGAACAGAGGGACTTCCTCACACATGAAATAGTACAGAACTTATTCCAATTTTTAGAAAGAGTTTAGATGAGTTTCACAATACTATTGGACAATTAAATATATTAATTATAACTACTGTAAATATTACATTTAAAGTCTGAGATAAAACAGAAGATAACATTGGTACAGAGCAGGCTAATTCAGAAAGAAGGCAGAGAAATTGCACATTGTCTACCATTTTAGATGAAGGCTTGTTTTTGTTTTCACTCACACTTAAATCTGCACTTGGTTTGCTCGGTGTGTTCAGACTTTAAGAAAATACCTCTCAACTCAGTGGATTAAGGATGCTTATTTAAAAGTTCTTAATTCAGATATTCCAGCAAGGTATGCAGCACGGCCCACAAGTCAGGCTATCTAAGCCTATTTTAGGAACTGAAATCTAAATTTCCCTTAAGGTGAATTTAGCCTCTGGTGACCACATGTACATTCCATGTTGGTTTTCTTGGCAACAATGTAGATTTTCCATTTTTTTAAATTTCTCAGCCTAGTCTACAGCCTGGGAATTTCCTTGTAGTTTCCCTCCAAGGTCCAATTCGGCTTAGATTTTTCAAGATCAGACAAGGTCAGCTAAGCAGTGTTATCAACTTCTCAATAACTGAAGGAGATTAGCAAAGCTATATCTCTGAATCAATGCCTTTGTACAGCTATGTGATTTGTCTCCTTGTGGTAGAAAATAGAACTGAAGAAAACATTCCTGCCCTTCTTTCTGCAGACTTACCACATCATGGTTCCTACGAAATCGGATGACTTCCTGTTCATCTTCAAACCTGCTGCCCATAGCCGTCTGTGTAACAGCCTTCATTGCAAAGCCTAACATATGCTGACTGAGGGGCACATGTTGAGACTCGGGGAAAGTTAGCCATTTTGTTAGCAATTCTTCTGACAGCTTAAACAAAAGAAATAAATGTGTCAATCTCTTTATCCCTACACATTCCCATGAAACCGAAAAGCACAAATTAAATATTATTACATGGCCTGTTGAACAGAAAAGCAGGTCAATGCCTTTTCAACTATTCTGATGAAATCCATCTTTACTCATAATGCCCATTTAGCATTGAGCTACTGTTATAATGTCTCCCATCTAGTGGTGCTTTGGGAAAGGTGCAATGATTCTTAAGGCATGCAGAGAGTATCTGTGCAATTACAGACCTCTAGTAATTTTACTGGACATAGCTGGACATTTGATCTGTATGATCAAAAAGATGAGGGGCATGGAGATGTTTCCTCCAAGAAAAGTAAACAGAAATGCCAACTGTAACCTCAATATAGTGATGACACTGACCACTAAACTGATGGATGACCTCATCCAAGTGTTTCATGTAAATATTAGGACAGGGGAGAGTATCAAGCCCTGTGGTACCTTACCAATGAGAGGCTGTGGGTGCAACCACTGAGGAAGAAGATGAATAACTGCAGCACAGTGACATCCACTCCTAACCCCCATAGTCAGTCCAGAAAGAAGCCACTGAGAGATCAATACATATCTCCATTTCTGCTCTGCCAAGGATCATGACAAGAGTAACCTGCACTGCTCTGTACCATGCCCTGATATGAAACCCAACTGGCACAAGTCTGGATGTACTATTTATTTTCAAGAATTAAATTTTAAGTGACAGACTGTGTAGGTTTTCAAGGTACCACTTCTCACTATGAGCTTGTTTTTAGTTTGGAAAATATAAGCTCTGCTAAACTCCACTATGTGGCAGAGGGGGAGGGGGGTAAATGAGGCAAATCCAATTTTTCAACAGCACTCTCTGTTTGCCTGTGCAATCCTAATCATGTTTAAAACATGTTTAATATTAATAGTAGTGCCTTGGGTGCAATCCCAAAACATCTCAAGCATTACTTGAATACCATTGGCATTGAGAAAATCACCATCAGTTATTTGCAAAAGGCAGCTTTACTTGGAAAAGTTTACATCCCAATGACACCTTTAACACCATCAAATATCCCAGGTCCTTGGGAAGGATTTCATAGGTGAATAAAAATGCTAAATTCAGTCTAAACACCTGTTTGATTGTGTGACCAACCATAATATAAAATGTATATGCCGACTGACTTTCAGCATCTCTGGATGACTCACAACAAAGAAATTACAACATCATCGATACGACATAAAAATAAAGATAAAAAGCCAATTGTTTTTAGTTTGGAAAATATAAGCTCTGCTAAACTCCACTATGTGGCAGAGTGAGGGGGGGGTTTAAAACAGTAGTAGGCATGTTCATTCGTGTTTTAATTTAACTTGTCCTGAAAACCCAGAAAAAATAGAAAATGGAAATGCACCAGACAAGATTTAATACTGAGGAGTCACTTCTGAGAATGCTGAATGCTTACACAAGATAAGCAACTTTCAAAAACCTTAAAACATCTGATTCTGCTCCACGCGGCCTTTTAAAGAGATTATTCTGAATCATTTATCTTCCTAGGAAACAAGCCTTCCCATACACCTGAGCAAAACTCTGCCCTCAGATAAAGCTATTCACCTTCTGGATTACAGGAAAATTACTCGGCAGCAGCTTAGTGACACCATTTTCATACAGTTTTTTCCTCACGCAGCTCTCAGCCATGTCTCCACCCAGGCCTGACTGATACTGCAACAAGGACTTTAACATCGTTTCAAAGGGGTCCGCTGAAAGAGAGAGTGAAAACACAATAAATCCCTACCATGCTCTAAAGAAGTTCCCCTACTTTGGTTCCCATGGTTCCCAGCAGGGGTGGGATTCTACCTGGTTGGACCAGTTCTATAGAACCGGTTGTTATGATTCTGCGCAGTTCGGAGAACCGGCAAATTGCTCGGCTGGCTGGCACCGCCCCTCCCCACCCACTCACTCACCTTACCTGGCATGCGTGCCATCCAACTTGCCTGCCTTGTACCTTGCAATATTTACATACATGGTGTGCTGTGAGTTAATTTTATGAGCTTGCTTGCAAGCAAATTTTATGTGACAGACTCAGGCAATAGATTGCAGAAAGATAGATCTCTGAGTGAATCTGTGATTCTGTGAGCAACTCAATCTGCCTGCTTGCTTTGCCTGATTTTGGGTAAAAGTTGCTCTTTTTTAATAAAAAAAATCAACATTTACATAAATATTTACAATATTTACATACAAGCCATGCCCAGCCAGTCACATGACCACTAAGCCACACTCACAAATTAGGCCACACACACAGAACCGGTTAAGAAATTTGAATCCCACTCCTGGTTCCCAGCCACTGCTTATGCTGGAAAGGAGGAGGTTAGGAAAGACTGCTATAAATCTGTCAAATTAGTTCAGAGGCTTGCAGTTAGTTACATGGCTGGGTGCTAAGTATTGGTACCTAAAATATCGATTTTTCTTCAAGAGCAATAAAACCAGAAGATGCAGAACTGTATACACATATCTTTGTTCCTACATGTCTGTATTGTCCAAATGTCCAACTAACAATTTTTGTCAATAGTCACACATGCTTACAGCTTCTAATCCTTCTGTAGAAGAAAGGGAGAAGTAAAATTTGTGGTCTCACAGTAAGAAAGTGAACTAATCAGGCAGTCAAGAAAGTCTCAAGCAATGTAGAAATAGCCTCTCCTGTAATAATCAGTAAGAACTTGGCAAAACCCACAGAAGTTCATTTTTATTTTAATAACCCTATCCCTTGCTTCAATGACATAATGTAACTTTTACCAGATCGTTAAGGGAGTCCTCCTTAAAGTATGTTTTTCATCCATATTGAACAAAGCAGAAGCCCAACCAGTGCTTCATGCCAACTGGACCAGCTCCAGGTTATAGTGATTATGTAGCTCACTTTGCCTGCTAACAATATCCTTTACCCAGTACTGTCAGATGCTCAGAGATTCTCAACCATCTGTTGTCCAAGGCAATTTGCAAAAATGCTACTAGTTTATAAAGCTGGTGATAATATGTCTCTTACAAAAAGCAATAGTAGAGAATTTTAACCCCAGGTTAAAATCTTCTGAGGATCAGAGAGGTCACAAAGCACCGGTGGATGTATCTAAAGGCACACATGGTTTCATGCAGACCTTAAATTTCAGTCCTTTATTCTCTCTTACTAAAAGAAAAGATTTTCACAGACCCAAATACATTACAAACCGAGGTGGAAATATCTGTAATGGAATGTGGTAGATGACATTGGGGGAATGAAGGAAATGGCTAGGGAACAATCAGACAAGAGTATGTATGTATGTATGTATGTATGTATTTATTTATTTATTTATTTATTTATTTATTTTGTCAAACAATTATTAGATAACAGGTATAAGTATAAACATGGTTATAATTACATGAAATGGATATGAATAACAAAAAAAAGAAACAATAGGACAGGGACGGTAGGCATGTTCCCTTGTTCCTTGCAGGCAGTTGGTTAATAGTCAGAGGAAGAAACTTTGGAAGGATCGTCCTAATTGATCGGACACCTAAAAGTGGCAGCAAGAAATTTGTACCTTCAGATTTGCAAGATTCTGTTAATGTGTAGCCTTATAATAAAGTAGATTTAGTTCACCTAGTTGTGTTTCCTGTCTGGTTTACCCAGAAGGCCTAACAATACCTATTAACTATTAAAGCCAACCTCTTTAACACATTCTTTGGCTCAGTATTTGTAAACAACAATGGATCATGCCCAGTATTTCCTAGTCGAACCACAGACAACTACAATGATCTAATACATATCGATTTTACAGAAGACATTGTTGAAAAAGCACTGCACAATCTAAAACCATCTCTATCTATTGGACTGGATGGAATATGTGCCTACTTCTTAAAAAAGCTACCCACTGCCATAGCCGAACCTCTAAGCATAATCTTTGAAAAATCTTTCAGGACCAGCTCCTTGCCAAAACTATGGTCACAAGCCACAGTCATCCCCATCTTCAAAAAGGGAGACTGTCAGTCTGTGCTCCATTCAAAATCCAAGAAAGAAATACTCAGACTCCAATGGTTAGAGCAAAGTTTTTTCCTTTTACTGAAATTCAAAGTGGAAGCTACAGGTAAAATTCTGAATCTAAAGAATTTGGCGCGCAGATCACATATACAAAGGGATGGAATTGTTCCCACCCCACAAAATCCAAAAGACTCTTCCAATTAAAAGTTCTGAATATGATCATGTGGGCATCCTCAGGTGGTGATGAGGCCTCTGTCTGTTGACCTTGACATATTTTGATAAAACTTCACAGCTGCGCAAAGGAAGGAAAAAGCTAGGCAAGGAAATAGAAACTTAAGAACAGGAATTTATACTCCCCCTCCTCCTCCTCCTTTACAGCACAGGAATGTAACACCTCCAGCTTTCTTCCCCTCCAATTCCCCCTCCCCCCCCTTACTAATGACAGTCGAAAGATGGAGAGCAGTGAGAAAGATGCATAGCCATAGAAAAGATGTAGAAGATATCTTGAAGGCTGACAGAGACCCCAGCTTAGTTGAAAATTACAGACCAATCTCTTTATGCTGCGTCACCTGTAAAGTCATGGAATCAATTATTAACCAATCCATCATCCTCCACTTAGAAACAAACAACCTAATCTCTAATAAACAATTTGGTTTTAGGAAAAAACTATCATGTAATCTGCAACTCTTACACTGCAAAAACATATGGACTACACAACTTGATCAGGGCAAAACAATAGATGCAATCTACATAGACTTCTGTAAAGCCTTTGATTCAGTGGTACACAACAAACTACTCCTAAAACTAAAATCTTATGGTATCTCTGGACACCTGCATTACTGGATAGAAGCATTCCTGTCAAACAAACAACAAATGGTCAAAATTGGGAGCATCCTATCAAATTCTGTACCTGTCAACAGTGGTGTCCCCCAAGGCAGTGTTCTAGGACCAACTCTTTTCATACTCTACATAAATGACCTCTGTGATCATATCAAGAGCAACTGCGTTCTCTTCGCTGATGATGTAAAGCTATTCAACACCACAGACAATACTGCTACCCTTCAAAAAGACCTTGACTATGTATCAGAATGGTCAAACAAATGGCAACTTCAAATCTCAACAAATAAATGCTCTGTCCTACATATTGGCAAAAAAAATCAGAAAATAAAATACAGGCTGAATAGTCAAGCCCTTGTTGATGATCCAAACTCTGTCAAGGATCTTGAAGTACTCATCTCAAATGACCTAAGTGCTAGAGCCCACTGTAACTACATAGCCAAAAAGGCATTAAGAATTGTTAACTTAATCTTACGTAGCTTTTTCTCTGGTAATATTACACTAATAACTAGAGCATACAAAACATTTGCTAGATCAATACTCGAATACAGCTTATCAGTCTGGAACCCACATTACATATCTGATATTAACACAGTTGAGAAAGTCCAGAAATATTTCACAAGAAGAGTTCTCCACTCCTCTACTCGTTGCGGAATACCTTATGCCACCAGACTCGAAATTCTAGACCTAGAAAACCTAGAACTACGCCGCCTTCGGTCTGATCTAAGTATAGCATATAAAATCATACATTGCAATGTCCTACCTGTCAATGAATACTTCAGCTTCAACCATAACAACACTAAAGCAAACAATAGATACAAACTCAAGGTTGATCACACCAAGCTTGATTGCAGGAAATACGACTTCAGCAATAGAGTGGTCAATGTCTGGAATACTCTACCTCAGTGTTCCCCAACCACCGGGCCCCGGACCGGTACCAGTCCGTGGATCATTTTTTACTGGGCCGCAAAGAAGTGGGCGCCGCCATCTTGTTTCGACGGCGCTTGAGAAAGTGCTTCCGGGTGAACTTGGGTGAGTTTGTCAGTCATCGGTTGGAAAGCGGCGTTTGGGCGTTGAAGGAATCCTCGCACCTGAGTTTCGTCCGGGGGGTGCCTTCGAATGAAGAGCCGTCCCGATGGCGATGGAGTCTCGCGTTAGGAGGAGATTAAGAAAGAGCCCGAAAAGCCCATCGACAAAGGTACAAAGGAGGAGTTGAAGGTGGCGGGGAGAAGCGGGGGACGGCTGGCTGGCTGGTTGCTCGGCTCGCCTTGCCTTGGTCGTGTGTGCTGATGCCGGTACCGGTCCGTGGATCATTTTGTGATGCTGGTACCGGGCCATGGGACAAAAAAGGTTGGGGGCCACTGCTCTACCTGACTCTGTGGTTTTTTCCCCCAAACCCCAAAAACTTTAACCTTAGACTTAGACTTAGACATACTACTAACCTCACCCCTTTCCTAAGAGGTCTAACATGCCTACCGTCCCTGTCCTATTGTTTCTTTTCTTTTTGTTTTCTTCTATGTATCCACGTATTCATAACTATGTTTCTACTTATACCTATTATCTTGTAAGCAATTGACAAATAAAAAAAAAATACCTCAGCTACCATGCTAACCCTGTGGGTGTCTCAGAGACACTTGCGATTCACAGCTTGGAACACTGCATCAATGGTTGTATACAAGCAATTTCAAAATGTATGTGCAATCATACTGTATATGTTTGACAGAAATACTTGAGTTTCCTACTGCATTAATTACAGAATATGTGATGCTAAACCTAATGAATTTAAAGACATTCTTATTTTAACCAGAACAAATTATGGTACACTAAATTACAACAAAGTGTTATTGCAGCCAGAACTTGAGAAATCCAAAAGGGTCATTGTGTGACCCAGCTCTGCCTTATTAAATATTCTGG